TGGGAAATGACTCCCCTGGTCTCTACCCTGCCACTCCAAAAGAAGGCATATTTGATTGAAGAGACAGTGGAACCTTAAAGAACAGTGTTAGAGCTGATGTGATGATGCACACCTGTAATACTTCTGTTCTCAGAGGCTGAGGTAGGAGGATTGCAAATGTGAGCTCTGGGCAACTTGGTGACTTAGTGTGACCCTGTCTCCAAACAAAGAGTAAAATAAAGGGCTGGACTGTAGTTCAGTGAGAAGATCCTAGGTTCAAGCTCTGGTACCAGTCTCTCTCTCTCTCTCTCTCTCTCTCTCTCTCTCTCTCTTTCTTTCTCACACACACACACACGCACACACACACACACATACACACACACACAGACACTCAGACACAAACACAGATTTTCCATCTTTATACATACTGTTTTTAAACAGCAAAGAGCCCTGTCTTCCTATTTGGGTTGATTGTAATTTTAAAATTTTCTTTGATATGTTCAATTATGCTAATTTAGAAGGTAGTTTCTATGTTGAGAAGCTGAAAGTTTTTATATATATTTTAATCTAAAGTGAATAGAATGGATTAAACTTTTAGAAATGCTGTTTGGTGTGCGTTTTGGTGTGAATGCTTTCATTCAGTTTGAAAAAGTGATCAGTAGTAAAGTCATTATTTACTGAGGAGGTTGTAATGTGTTCGCCTCCCTCGTGAAAGGTGGGCAGTGAGGTGTCATTTTTCAGAGATAGCATGGGTTTGTTCTTGGTAGGTATTTAAAAAGAAGATAAATCTTTTACAATTTATTTCATTTATAAAACTAGCTAAAATTGAAAGCACTTTGAGTTTCCATTGAAGAACTTCGAGAAATTTAAAGGTACAACTATGCAAAGACCATTTCAGAGGTGCACAGGTCCTGGGAGCACACAGGTGGTGAGGCACTGGGGTGCTACTAGCAGCCATTGCCATTGGCATTCTTGGACCTGGCAGGTCAGGGCCACTGGACGCCATGTGCAGGTCTTGGTGAGAGCTGGAGGCTCAGAACAGTCACTTTTGACAGGAGCTGAGCTGCAGGAGCATCGCGCCACTATCAGAGCTACAGGGGACAGGACATGTTAGGAAGGAAATGTCCACACCTCTCCTGCTCTCCATTCTGTTGGGATGCATTTCATTGGCTGGGCGTTGAGGGCACAGAGGAAGCTCATGCGTAGTACTCAGCCTCCCATCACAGAGCCACCACCAAAAGGACGAGGCTCCTTCAGGACATACAATGCAACCATCACAGAGATTATGTTACATTTGATACAAACATTTAATTTCTAGAATAATTGGAGGAAACTGGCATCGTTATGACATTGACTCTTCTTTTTCCTGAATACATTTATTTATTTATTCAGATACCTGGAGCATATCTATCAAAAACACTAAAAAAATTTTTTTTTGGTACTGGAGATTGAACTTGGGTCCTTGTGCTTGTGAGGCAGGTGGTGGAACCACTGAGCCAAATCCCTGTCCCCATTTTAAAATTCTTTATAAGGGTGTTATATGTCTCTCATTAGTCTATAACTTTCATGGACAATTTCCTGTTAAGTTTATAAATCAGCTGTTCAGATCTTAAGATACAGTTCCCATTCAGAATCTTTATGTCTAAATATAAGTCTAACAAAAGACATATAACACCCTTACACTTGCAGGAAGTACGGGATATAGTGATGAAAGAAATGTTCAAAAATCAAGATTTCACAAATCATGCCCTATCTAATGATAAGAACCTATCTAATGATAAGAGTTTCCATGGTGGTGACTGGTAGAGATGCAATGGAAAAATAAAAGATTACAGATGAGAAAGTTAAATAACTACGGAAACAGGCTGTAGGTTTCAGAATTCAGGAAACCTATAACATTCAGGATTCTTTCTTCCTCCTTTGCTTTCTCTTCTATAGCTTAACTAATCTCCCTCTCCCTCTCTCTCCAGCTCCTTGGACCAGGATTGCATTTATGGCTATGAGAAGAGGTTAGATTTAGGATAAAGGCTGTGGGCAGAGCTCAAGGATTTGTGGGTGGATTAAAGCTATGATGTGAGAAACGGGGGAGGAGTCAAGGATGGCACCAGTGATTTCAGCTGGAAATTTAAAAGTGAATTGTGATGCCCTTTTTTAGTTCAAGAAAATATGGGAAAATTCTCATGGGTTATGTGTTTATCAGTCAAGAATACTTTGGAAATGCTAAATCAGAGATTTTCTGTGTTAGATTTCCAAGTAGGGATATCAAGCTGAAAGTGATATGTGTGTCAGGAATTTAGGATAAAGGTTAGTGCTCAAGAGATAAACTTAGAAGATGTCAGTGTATGGTTGGTATTTAAAATATTTGGACTGGATAGGGTTAGGTTGGAAGAAACATCTGAGAACAAAGGCATGTCTAAAATGAAGATCAAAACATAACAAGGAACAAGAGGAATAAATAAGTTTAGGAGACGTACACCATAGTGATTATAATTTTTAACAATATATTATATACTTGAACATTGCTGTATCAGTAGATTTTAGGTACTCTCACTACACATACAAGCAATTATATGAAGCAATGCTTATGTTAAGTTTAATTGGGTTTGTGCTGATTTTGTGTTCCTGTGACACTATACCTGAACCACACAAATTTGGTTCATGGTTTCAGATATTTAGTCCATGTCCGGCCCAGTTGCTTTTGAGCTTAGGGTGTTACAGAACACCATGGTGGCAGCAGTGTGTACTGGAGGAAGATGCTCCACATATGGGGCTAGGAAGAGAAAAGAGAGCTTGATTTTCCAGCATAGCCCCTCTCCCAAGCCTCATTATGCTTTGAATCTATAAATGAGTTAATCTAGTGATGAGGGCAGAACCCTCAATATCCAGTGATCCACTTCCAGAAGGTTGCACCCCTGAACATGGCTGCACTGAGGACCACATCTTCAACACATGAGTTTTGGGGAACACTGCAGACCCAAATAATAAAGAGCTACTCCAAATATATGCATATATCAAAACACCCTAACCATGTACACATTTTATTTATAAACTAAAAAATTTATGTAAAAATAAAAGGAAATGGCAAGTATTTAGAAAGAGTGTCCACTGATATAGGAAACGCATAAGAAGATAATCATCCTAGGAATTGAGTGAAAGCTGAGTTCAGGAAGGAGATAAGATGGATCACTTGAAATGCTATGAGATGAGGCCTGAGAATTCACCACAGGTCTTGGAACCATGGAGATAATCAGAAGTCTTGGTGATAGTGGTGTACTAGGAATGAAAACTTCATTGGTGAACATTCTGGAAAAACTGGGAAGAGAAAAATGAAGCAATAGGCAGGGGAACATAGGATTAAGGATGCCATTTATTCAGGGGAAGATTATTATATTTGCATAATAGTAAAAATAATTCATACAGGATGGAAAATGATGCTTGAGAATTAAAAAATGCAGTAGCAGAAAAAAAAGCTTTTTAGTGAGTAAAGAACTCACAAAAGCAAATACTACTTTAACATATATGGGGGACACACAAGACTAAGATAAACAGCAAATTTTAAATGCTAAGAGAGATTACCTATGACTAGGAGACAGGAACACTGAAAATAAGATGACCCATTATTTTGGAGAAGAGACTTGGGGTGATAATGGAGAGACTGGAGGGAGGGTCTGTCATATACTCTGTTCCAAGCTATCTCTTTCTTTTTAATGGAAGCATAGTTTTAATATTGTGAACTTTGTAGGAACAGATACTACATGGTAAAGGAAGTTCTCACCTGTATATTATCATTACTGTGGTTTATTTTCTTCTGTCTGAGTGGTGCTGGGGATCAAGTCCTTAAAACAAGGCTGGAAATTAACAAGACCCTAACATGAAAGTAGAAGATATATCTTTCCTCCCAACTGCACAAATTGCAATATGGAACACAAGAAATACAGAGAAACAAGGCAACACGACTCTTCCAAATGGCCATAAGTCATCAGAATACAAAGATATCGAAGCGAATTGAGTGCCAGATAAATAATTCAACAGACTGACTTTAAAAATGATTAATGATTTTAAAGAGGATACTAATGAATAGCTGAATGAATTGAGGAAAACAATGTAGGATGTAAAAGAGCAATTCAGCAGAAATAGAGATGCTAAAGAAGAACCAAACAAATCTTGGAAATGAGAAGCACAATAAGTCAAACAAAAAACTCAGTGGGACTCCCAACAATAGACAGTTGTCAAGCAGAAGATAGAATTTCAGGGCTTTATGATAAAGTTCAGGAATTGTTACACTCAAACACTAATGTAAAAGCAAGACAAAAAATTATGAACAAAGCATGGGACATGGTTAAAAGACAAAAGTATAGTATATCCTTCAAAAACCAGATGTTGACATACAGTAAAAACCCATTAAAAGCAAAAGCTATGCCATCATTAACAGTAGAGGAGAAATAAATGATAAAATCATAAACTAAAAAGCTAAAAATGAATACAAGCTGTGATAATACTAATAAAATATTGAGGGGTGAAGAAAGAAAAATGGAAGAAGATAACATTTTTTTAAATAAGCAAGATGAGGAGGAAAGAAAATAGGTTAAAAACTTCATCTGAAGAATTTAAAAAATGTAAATGGAATTAAGTAAGAGTAATAGAGGAAAAACAAGAAGAAAAGCCAAGAATAAAAAAGAAAATGAGCAAAGAGCAAAACAAAACAACAACCACAAATCAAACTAAGAAAAAGAGAAATGAATCCAAAAATTTTCTCCGCTCAGGTGTCTGTATGTGCTTAGTTTCTTTTTAGGACCTATAGTATTAGAATCCAGCAAATACTGTTGTCTGTGTGGATGCACAGTTCTGCCCCATCTTTCCTGCTGGATAGGGCCAGTCAATAGTGTATTGTCTACCTCATGATGTATTCACCTCAGAGACTTTTAAGTGTGTGCTTGTGTCCTTTTCTGTACCCAGCCAGCTTTGCAGCATATGTGCTCGTGAAGTGCCCACTTGCTCCGGTAACCATTCTGTCCATACTTCCAGGACTGTGGCAAATGACCAAGCAGCAGCATACCCCTCATCATGCGTTGGTGGATGGAGAAAGTAAGCAATTTGGGGGCTTGGTGGTACACACCTGTAATCTCAGAATTCTAGAAAACTGAAGCAGGAAGATCACAAGTTTGAATCCAGCCTGGGCAAAATAGTGACTTAGACCCTGTCTCAAAATGAGCATTTTTCATAAAAGGGTTGAGGATATGTCAGTGCAAAAGCTCTGGGTTTAACATGACAAAGCAAAAATCTCCTCCTAGACCACTGGTTTCTGGGCTAGAGGGAGGAGTGAGGGGTGCCCAGCAGTACACGGTTCAGCCCCAGCACCCTCAGGATACCATTAGATGGACAGGGCTGACTCCTCACTCCAAAGGGCAGGACCACTGTGTCCTCCTCAGCCCGAATGCCCTGCTGCTTACACTACTCAGTCTGTGACTTGCCATGCCCCTCTCTACAGCTGTGTCTTGTCGCTTTTCCCACCCAGTCACTGTGGCAGGTTGTCTCCAGAGACCCTGAGGTATAGCTGTTCTGTGACTGTGGATCCCTGAGCTCAGTCTCAAACAATAATAACGTGGCTCCTGGCCACACCACTGTAGCTTGCTATTCAGAGAGCTCACTTCACATAAGAACCCCATACTACATTTGAAGCTTACAGTAATTATGGGCTTTTCCTGGGGTTGACACCTCTAAGCTAGATTAGTGTTCTGGGGTGCTTTGGTCTTTTCATTATTGGTGTTCTGTTTCTCCATATTTAGCTTTCCTGTGGGCTCTTTCTTAATCCCTAGAGCTCTTCTTCACTTCAACCTTGCTAAGCATTATTTTTCCAAGTGTTTGAATTCTACCTCCAAGGAGACTTCTACCCCACCATCTTGATCAGCGACTTCCAGAATGAAATTGTAGTAAGAGTTTCGGATTAAGTTGTGTCACCCTCATCATATGCTGAATTCTGAATGTGACTGTATTTGGAGATTGTCTTTAATAAGCTGATTAATTTAGACTGAGGTCTTAATGAAGTCCAGCCCAGTAGGACTGATGTCCTTATAAGAAAACGGGACTAGGACATGGCAGAGGGAAGAGGACATGAGGACACAAGGAGAAGATGACCATGGACAAGTCAAGGACAGAGGCTTCAAAAGAAACCAACCTTACTGAAACTGACTTCAAATTATGAGAAAATAAATCTCACGTTGTTTCAGTCGCTGAACCTGTGGTGCTCTGTTAAGGCAGACTTGCAAACCAGTATGATGGCATAATGTGCATTTTTTTGTTTTTATGTAATAAATATTTAAATTCTGCATTTAAGCACACTTCAGAGGAGTCACAGTTTAAGTGTTTAGTACTTGTAGGGAGCAGTGGATGCTGGTTGAACGGCGCGGCTGGCTGTAAAGAAGGCAGGGACAGCAGATGTGAAGAGCAGCACTCTGTGTCTAGGGTCTCCTCAGCATCCTTCACAGCAGCGTGGAGGTTGGCACAGGAGCAGTGTCTGGGGCTCTTGTCAGCCCAGAGGAGGGCAGAAAGGGTGGATTTGAGCGGGAGGCTCAGCTCCTCCCATCTGCTGTGCAGATCAACACATTCTGTTGTCACTGTCGCCAGAGCTTGGGCTCAGCTCGCTGACACCCTTGTCCCTGCCAAGGGGTCGCAGCGCTTTTCTTGGAGGAGCAACTACTGAGAAACACAAATGTTATTTACAGTGATTGGAGGATGGACACGTTGCTCTGAACACCCTGTCACCTTAGGAAGAGGACTGTTCTGGAAAACAAATGAATTTTTCATTCTAGAGAAGGGAGGGGGGGATGGGTAAACTTTGGACACTAATTAAATTCAGATCAATGCCCAACAGTAAGGATAACAAATTCCCAGTGGAATAGACTGGCACCCACGCCATAGTGGATTACAGGGTTTTCTGTATGCGCGCTGAAGAGTAAGAGTGTGCTGTTTTGGATGACACATGCTGTACAGCTTAGTTGAATGAATCGCGTTATGTACTAACTGCTAATAGTTTCATTTTTTTGTATATTTTTTAATGCAGGATAAACCACCCAGCAGAGAGAAATTAAAGGCACCAGTAAAGTCCCGACCACAGTTGTCTATGGTAATTTATCAATATATCATCACTTTTATAACAATATTGTTTACTAATTTTGAAATTCAGTAACTTGAAAATATGTTATGACTTTTTGGTTTTAAATTCTGTGTTTGGTTCTATTCTGATGGTGAGATTCTATGAAGTACACATGTTAGGAAATGTATGTATTAATAATAAGTCGCTGTACCTGTAATTTCCTAGTATCTACAGAATACTCAAGTATTACGAATGATAGACCTGCCAAGTTCAAGTAGGAGGAGGCATGTGAGTGTTGGAATTGGGCAGTGACGGCTTGTGCTAAAACTTTGTTTCTAAACGCACTGTGACATCTGAGAGCAAAAGTGACACTTATTTTGCTGGGACGGGAAGTGTCAACTGTGGCTGTGTCCAGCCAGCTGGGATTTAAGGTCACAGCAGGAGGGACTGTGGTGGATGTTTACTGAGGGCAAGGCCAATCCAGCCCTAAAGCCCATGTCCTCCGTGACATGGTCGTACCCTCCTGTCCATCTGTGTCCTCCCTTGCCCTTCGTCTATGTCCCCATGGGAACGTGACTAGGAAGACCATCTCACTACCTCATCTCGCCTGGCATTTCTCCCCTCTTCCCTTCTCACTGTTTTACTTCTCTACACTGTCACATCACTTCCCGATGTAACGTGGTGTATCTGTTCAGAAATGGCTGTGTGTACCCCCAAGACATACCCTCCATGATGGGAGGGACTTAGTCCTGTCCACAGCTGAAGACTCAGGACACGGGAGGAGTGCAGGAACTCCGTGGATGGATTACATAACCCACAGAGTTGGTCCAAGACCTCTAAAAACCATCCAGCACCCCCTGTGGCAGGTCTGCTACTCCTATTTAGCCCCCAAATTCTTGAGGCTCCTTCTGTTTCAGTGAACTCCTTGCTGTCTCCTCTGTGGAGATCCAGCCATCCTTAAAGGCTTAGTTTCCATCCTTTTTCTCTCGGTACTGTTCACTGGGTGTGCACTTCCTGCAAGGAGGGAAACACCATTCCTTACCTGTGCAATAGGCACCACAGTGGTATAATAGTACTTACTTCATGATGTTTAATGATACTGAAGAAACTCATTGATGTAAACTAAACTTCTTAGAATTATTGATGAGATAATTTGTACCCTGTTTTGTACTGTCTTCAAAATCTAGTGTGTATTTTACACGTCTCATTTCAGAGGAGCTACAGTTTAAGAGCTCAGTGCTTACAGGGGGCAGCGGATGCTGGTTGGACAGCACAGCTGGCTATAAAGAAGGCAGGGAGAGCAGATGTGAAGAGCAGCACTCTCTAGGTCTCAGGGCAGAGCTCAGGGACACACTCAAAAGAACCATCCCTCCCGGAAGCTCAGGTTCAGGCACGCTGGCAGAGGCTGGGGCTGTGCTTCCTGGAGGGAGGGACCCTGGCTGGCAGGTGAGCAGCACGTGCAGGACGCTGAGTTTGAAGGAAGCCTCCCTGGTGTGGGAGACACCGGTGGAAAGCCACCCATGGGAAGGCCAGGGAAGCTTGGGGAGGAGATTTCCTAGGACAGGGTGCTGACTGCTGGAGGCTGTGCCACGGAACTCAGGAGGAAAGGCCTTGCTCTTATAGTGTCTCCTCAGCATCCATCACAGCAGCGTGGAGGTTGGCACAGGAGCAGTGTCTGGGGCCCTTATCAGAGAGCCCAGAGGAGGGCAGAAAGGGTGGATTTGAGCGGGAGGCTCAGCTCCTACCATCTGCTGTGCAGATCAACACATTCTGTTGTCACTGTCGCCAGAGCTTGGGCTCAGCTCGCTGACACCCTTGTCCCTGCCAAGGGGTCGCAGCGCTTTTCTCGGAGGAGCAACTACTGAGAAACACAAATGTTATTTACAGTGATTGGAGGATGGACACGTTGCTCTGAACACCCTGTCACCTTAGGAAGAGGACTGTTCTGGTGACTCAGGACCAACATCAAATTTTAAATACTGAGGGGAAGGAAAACCAAGGAAGTCCTGGACAGTACGTTCAGATAAATCCTCAGAAGGTGGAATAGAGGAAATGCTTTGTGCACTTTTTCAAGCTTTTGATGAATGTTCCTGTTATCATTTTTCTTTATTACCTTGTCCTAAACCAATGATTCTAAGATAAACATTGAGAATTTTAAAAGTGGTGAAATATACTTTGGATAAGTTGGGTAATATATACTTGACTTTCTAGTAGACAAGATAAAATTGAGTCAAGTGTATCGATTTTGGCATTAAGAGAATAAACAATTTTTTATCATATTTTTTCATGTAGGTTAAATCAACTACCAAGGACAAATCCAAGATATCAGCAGGAGTTCTGCCACAGTTGTCTTCGGTAACTTACCTATACACTCTCAGTAAATTTTTACTATTTAAAAAATTGTTTTATTAGTTTTCAAGATTTTAATACATAACTGAATTTCTGATTTTGAATTTGGTATTCTAATTTGATTTTTTCTGATAAAATAATTCTATGAGGTAGAACTCTTAAGAAAAACTACCTTAATAAAAAATAAAAAAATAAATTTGGTTTTCCCTATAGTACTAGTTAAGATAAAGATAAGGTATGAGTAAAAAACCCCAAACCTTAATGAAGTTACTATAGCTATATCAATGGTGGTGAACCAGTGGCATGCATGCTGCTGCAGGCTGTTTGTTAACACTGAAAGTTCTAAAAGGTTCCCCGTCACTGATCTATAATTTTGCAGTATGTTGCCATGGTTTATATCTAGATGACCCCGTCCCAAAGTCTCATGCATTCATAGGCAGGGCTTGATGAGGGTGATTGAGTCTTGGACATCGTGTAGTTAAAAGTGGCGTGGGGGGCGGCAGTTGGAAGAGGTCACACACTGAGTGTGGGACCCGGAAGGGTTCATCTCCCTCTCTTGCTCCTTCCTGCTCTCTCGGCTTCCTGGCCACCATGATGTGAGCAGCTCTCCTCCGCCAGGCTCTTCCCCCTGCCTTCCTGCCCTGGAGCCATGTAGACTGGAAACATGAGTCAAAAATAAACCTCCCCTCCCATAAGTTGTGGGTGCTGGGTGTTGTGTTTCAGTGACGTGACAGTGCCGAAGGCGTCTTTACAGAACACTTGAGTATGTGAAGGGAAGACTCCACGGTGTGCTGGGGAGAGGAATGTGAGGGCTGGAGCCATGACCTGAGTGCTGGGGTAAAGCGTTGTCTCTAGTGGCTCTGTGACATTGGGGAAGTCATTTACTCTGATTTGATGATCTCTGGATACGGCTTTTCCAGTGCTAAAAGTCTGTGCTTGAAAAGACTTGTTAGATGTTGGCATCCTTGTTCATTATTTCGACTCCATGTTACCATTATTCTGTGGAACAGGCAGTTTGTAGGCATTTTTCACTTGATGAAATGCTAGGCAATTTAGATTTTCCTGTAAAAAAATTTACTGTCTAATAATTATGTTGCCATTTGGTTACCCTCTTGTGACTTTGGGAATGAGCTTTAGTGGCATTTCAGTGTAATCACTGTATTTTGGAATTTTTATAAAACATACGTAATATACAAGTTACCATCTGAATTGTTACTTTAAGTATACAGTGCAGTAGAAGTTAGCAATTCACATCGTTGTTAAACCATCGCTATCATCCATTTCCAGAACTCTTTTTGTCTTCCCAAATGGAACCTCCTAATCCATTAAGTGATAACTTCCCATGTGCGCCACACCCCCAGTCCCTACCATTTTGCCTCTCCCCGTTTTATTACCCAGCATGTCATGTGAGTGGAGTCATATGATATTCATCCTGTTTCACCTGGCTTATTTCTCTTAGTATAACATTCAAGATTTGTCCATTATTTGTTTTGAAAGATATTTTAAAAAGCTGAAATCAAGCTGTAAGATTAAATTTGTCTTGTACAGAAACATTTTAAATGAAGATCTTTTTCATTGAGGACACGAGTTAATATTCCTACATGAATTGTCTTGAGCATTTAAAATACATATTTTCATTGAAAATTATGCTTTTATTGATCATGCCACCATGTCTGGACAATAGAGCAATAGCATGTTTTCCCATGTTCTGCTAAAGAACCATGCTAAATTTTCTAGTTTGAAAGTTAAAGACCTGAAATGGAATAGACGCTATTATTTTCTTTTTAAAAAATTAAGTAATTTCAAAACTGAAAAAAAATTGCTCTTAGTTTGTTGTGTCTTGTTAGTATATGGATTTAGAATATAAACTCAATTAAAAGTACTTACTGGGGGTCAGGGATGTAGCTCAGTGGCACCATGCCTGCCTCACAAATGCAGAGTCCTGAGTTCAATCCCTGGTACCAACAAAAAACAAAACAAAAAAAACTCACAATAAAACAAAAGACAAAGTATTTATTGAATGCCTGTGGCTGCAATGAATCATACCCCTTTCCTGTGAATCATATAATCATCTACGATGCTGTTGTTGGCTGATTTTTCTTCATCTTAATCTTTAAGTTTTGTATGTCTTAAGGGAAACAGCATTTTCAAGAGTTTTTTTTTTTTTAAAAAAACATTGATTTAAATTTTTTTTTATTTGAATGTTAAGGTTGGTACTTACTTAAAAGTTCCCCAGTAGTAGTGAAGACCTGAGTGGTTTTCATTACAGTCTAGCTTCTTCTAGGAAGTTGTGCGACTGTTGCAGTTGAAATTATGCTAACTCGACACGTATGGCTCCCAGCCTTGGGGAGCAGGTGCCCCACTTTTCACCCTCTTTGTACCCTGCTCACCAGACTCCCATGAGTCTTACATCCCTTTTGAAGCAAGACCAGAGGGAAGAAGGGAAGAGCAGGTGGTAGGATGGGAAAATGCTGATTCACACACTGGCCTCGTCAACTTTCCTGGGAAGGAGGAACCTGACACAGTCTGTGCAGGTGATTTACTTGGGAAGCAGGAAGAGGCTGGAGGGAGTAAAATGAGGCAGAAGGAGGAGCTACTGCAAGCACAGGCTAGCAAGTTGATCTAGATCTGAAAGGAAGACATGGACTAAATTATCAGCATTACAAAGTATATAGATTTTGCTTTAGGATATGCAACCCTGGGTTTGCTGAAGAACCATCGTCTTCACTGACCACGTTCTTTGTTCTGGTATTACAGTTATTGGTGAGAGCTAATTAGTCTTTGCCCCTTTAAAAGATACAGATGCTCTGTTGTCTGCTGTGATCCCTCCCACACTCTGAGCTAATACCCCAAGCCAGAGCTGCTGGAACCATGTCAGACCTTGGTGGCTTACTACAGAGCGAGACTCAAAGTCTAGCACAGGGTTTGTGTTGGAACTCAGTGGTGAGACCCAGCACCTGTTAGAAGCTGAAGGTCTCTTTTGCAGGCTGGAGTTGCACATAGAGCCTCTAGCCCTGCCCTGGCACTGGGTGGAGGCCTGTGCACCGTGGGGCAGATGGAAGTTTCAGCTTGCACCATTTCCATCCTTGGAGTAGGTCCGGAGCACACCTGCCCTCCTCCTGAGTGTATTCAGGCTCTGCAGCTGAGATTCAACTACTACCTAGCCTACTGTCAGCCTTGGTGGCCAAGGGGCTGTCTCCATCCACTGTCCTCCAACCTGGGGCAACATAACTACTGTCAGACAGGGCTCACAGATAGGGCTCTAGAACTGCCCCTGCACCAGGCAGAGCCCTGTGTCCCAGGGCAATAGACTCGTATTTGGCCTGCACACCGGTCAACTGCAGTGTGGGCCTTTTGCATTCCTGAATTTATGAGACTTGGGTGCCACCAGCTCAGCCTCAGCCTATGCAGCCAGGGCCTGCCTTCTCCAACACTATCTGAACCTCGGCAGCATAGCTTGACACAGACCCCATTCCGTGAGGGTAAGATGTGTGCTAAGCACACTTTGCCCTGGAACTTAGCCTGGGCTGGTGTAACCTAATACTGGTAGATCCTGACAGCCCCCTTCCCTAGCTCTGCTTGCAGACTGAGCCTCTGGGACAGCTCCAGTCCCAGGAGAAGACACACAGCCCCATCCTATTGGGCTTCTATTCCAGCTGGTATCCCTGTGGCTGACTGCATTAGTGTTAGGTTATAAGTTTACTTTAGTAATAGGCAGTCAGTCCATTGCAAGTGTGGTCCTTGTTCCTGCCCTCGTTGCATTGGTTTGGGCAGGCTGTGGGCCCAGAACATGACACAGCTTAGTGGCATTGGTGGACAGAGGTGTGGCAGAGGAGTTTGAGGCTGGTCCATCCATAGTGACTCTACCCAGAGTCAGGCAGAATCATGCAATACTTGACCATAGGCCAGTAACTATGGATGAACCATCTGGACCTACCTTGGCCCAAAGGGGAGACTTGTGGGAAAAGACTACTTTTTCTAGGTACTCTCCTACTTCTTTTTGGACAACACATCAGCAGTGTTCTTGGCACAAGCCTGGGCATGGATCACCCTCTACTGAGATAGCAGCAACACACCAAGAGCAGACAACTGGTGAATCTGGGCATGAGCACCATTCGGTGTTAAGATAGTTGATGTTTCTATAAGCTCAGAGAAAATAAGCTGCTTGTTTACAATTTCTGGAAGGATAGGTAATAAGTTAGATTGGGAAGACTGGAACAAACACCTAATTCTTTAATGCCCAGACCATGCCACGTGCCACTCGCGTCAACTTTCAGGAAACCGTGACCTCACCTCACTGTCAAATAAGACATCAGAAACTGACAAGCTGGCCAACAGTATGGGAGAACGTGCATAGAATTCAACACAGCTGTTTTAAGGAAACTTGGAGAGCTTGGAGAAATGACAGAAAAACATCCCAGTACTCTAACAGAAAAACGTGACAAAGTGATAGGAGCAATTTAAAAAGACAGAAATTGACAATCTGAAAACTTCACTCAGAGCATTCAAAACACAATAGAAAGCAGAATAAGCAGGGTAGAGCAAATGGAGGAAAGAATTAATGCGCTTGGAGTCAAGCTGTTTGTAAATACACATTTGAAGGAGATTTAAAAAAATGAAGAGGAATGAAGAAAGCCTATAGGAAATTTTGGACAGTATTCAAATAGTAATTAATCAAGTTGTTGGGGGTTAAAAGTAACTTAAGAGTGCTAAAAAAGAAAGCTTAGTTGGAAAAAATAACAGAAAACTTCCAAAATCTATAAAAGGACACAAATGTCAGGTATGGGAAGGCCAAAGGTCTCCTTATTTAATTCCACAGATTTATCCCAAGATATCTTATAATTGAGCACTCAAACATGAAAGATAAAAAGATGCTCAAGGCTGCCAGAGAAAAGAAGCAACACCTGCCTCAACTCACCTGTCAGCAAACTTCTCTGCAGAAATGTTACGGAAAAGGCAAAATGTCTCAGCCAAGAATATTGTGTCCATCAGAGCTTTCCTCTGGA